TACGGTTCGGTGCGTACCTCGGTATGGACCCTACGTGTCGGTGCGTACCTCGGTATGGACCCTACGGTTCGGTGCGTACCTCGGTATGGACCCTACGTGTCGGTGCGTACCTCGGTATGGACCCTACGGTTCGGTGCGTACCTCGGTAATGGTATGGACCCTACGGTTCATGCGTTTTCGGTACGGTGCAGAAAAAAAACATGACAGAAAGGCTATCCTCAAAGGCAGATTTTTATTATTTAAATTCCCAGCTGAGATAGCTGCAACTTTCTGTAAAACAAATGTTGTTTGATATGTATCAACACATTTGAATTGTGCCTACTCACGTAATGAACAGGTGTCGAAAAACAACGACAGACCGTCTTTGTTTCGTCAACCACTCGCTCTCCATCGCCACCATTGACTTGAATGATGATGGTGGATCTTCTAATTCTTCGCTACTCGCCATTGTTAGCACTCTCTCGCAACAAAACAACCCAACAGCGGTACCTTCCACAGAGCGCAGTTTGTATTTTAAGGTGGCGTTTACTATCTAGACCAATCCAGGCATGTCTATTTGTCTACGGACCAATCAGAGCTTGCAGGTGGTAGTGGTTAAATGGGTCCTGAAGGAAATTCTTGCTAAATAATAGTTCTGCAACCAGATCAATTTTAAACTTCCGTACCGTGTGTATTCTGCGTGGAAATGCACGTACCGAACCGTGACCCCAGTACCATAACGATTAGGTACAAATTAGGTCTGCAACAACGAATCGATAAAATCGATAAAAATCGACTTTTAAAAGCCTTGGCAACGAATTTCATCATCGATTAGTTGTGTCGCGCGATTAATGCGTCATCCGCCGCCGCCGTCATCACATCCACTTGATGTGATGCGGGGGAAGAAGAAAAAATATGGCAGAGCGAGCCAGCGCCGCAGGTGCAGTGTTGCCAACTCAGCAACTTTTCAGACCCCTCCAGCGACTATTTTTCAAAAAAGCGACTAGCGACAAATCTGGCGACTTTTTACGGTGTCACTGGCGGCTTTTGGAGACTCTTACATGAAAGCATGTATCGTTCCTACTCTGCCGTGGGGCGCCTCCCCCCGCTCCCGCAGGAGTCCCTCTCAGCGCTGCAGTCAGAGCAGCAGGATTTTTACCCTCAGCGTCCAGACTGCAAATGAAGCGCGCATGCACCGGGATTGACGGCGCAAATTGATCACAATAATTAAAATAGCCTGCGCTTTGTACAGTGAAAAAAGTCGGAACATGCAACTTTTGTCAAAACAAATTAACATGGCACGGAACCACCATGTTTGTTTCGTTTTAAAGTGGGGAAACGTAACGTTAGTTTCTCAGGTAGCTCATCTGATGCTTTCCTTACCGTGTTAGTAGGTTACAGACAGTGATAAGGTTGGCTACTTATTTTACTTTTAATTTCATTTGAATTAGCTTAAGCAGCGTTTATATTTTCTTTATACATAAATTAACTTGCAAATTATGAGGGCAAGGCTTTTAAAGTTTAAATCTTCTGGCAAAGATAAAGTAAAGAAGATCCTGCAATTTATGGAAGTAAAGCAGAATAAAATCCAGCAAGATCAGTAATATGTCAATTAATTATATGCCACATTTCCATGTAAATATCTGTGTTTGGAGGATGTGTTTTTTAGCACCCCTAGTTCTCTCATTTTTATTCCAAATACAATTTATAATTTGAATCACAGGGCTATTTTTATCTCTATGGTTCAGTATTTTCTCAAGTAGCAACTTTAACTGCTATACTTTCCTGTCTTAAAAGGCAGAACTCTATTAATCTAAAAAAAACCTCATTTGTTGAAATGGGGGGACGTATTGTTTGAACCCCTTAGGAGCTTTTAAAAAAAAATGTCTTTTTATGCGCTTTATGAAACAAAGTAGCCTATATTTTGTGGATGTACAGCTACATTTCTCATGTAAGTTTGCGTAGTTTTAACACAAACATTTATTTTTCATATTGCACCAGTACAGTTAATGAGCAACCTGTACTTGTGTGCTTGTTTGTTCTGTCTAAAATGTTTATTTTGGAATAAAGAGTATAAAATATAGAAAAATATTTTTTGTCCGATTCATCGATTAATCGAAAAAATAATCGGCCGATTCATCGATTTTTTAAATAATCGTTAGTTGCAGCCCTAGTACAAATACATAAACCGTGCCGGCCGTACAAATTACAGCATCTATTTTATATTAGCTGATATCCTTAACAGTCATAGCTCATGACACCATAACAATCTGTGCTTAGGTAGTGTTAGCTTAAGCTCACCAAGCAACTGCCTCCTCTGACTCTTTTCTTTTACTTGGAATCTGCCAAAATGCCTGAACACACCAAATCCGATTTGGTGTCTGAACCGACAGAAAATCGTGTCGGACGAAGTTGTGGAATTTAGACCTCATTAACAGTCAATGGAATATAAACACCCAACACAGTTCCAGCAGCAATTTCATGGGTCTGGTAGGAAGAAAGATGCAGTTACAAAGTAAAATATATCCACTTTGGAGGAAAATACAAAATAAAATCTGTTTTGTCTGTACATTGCGTATATACCAATTATGACAGACTCGTGCAAAAACAATCAATGAAAAATGAAAAAACAAAAAGGCTTTACCTACGATAGTTCAGGAGTGACCCTTTTTGAGCATTGCAACAACAACAAGGGAAAGTAAGCACAGCTTATCACTCTCCTCGAAACAGAAAAAAAAACTTCAGGAGGACAGAAAACAGATATAGTGAAGCAGTCATCCTCTTTGAGCCTTACAATAAACAAAATAACAAGGGGCAGACAGAATCACCTCTCATTGCCTCAGTGAGCATATAAACCATCTACAACCTTTCAGCATATAAGAGTTCTTAATCTGTTCTGGTTTCAGATGTTGCACAGACTCAATAAGTGGGGCTTTGCTTTAAAGCTGCTCCGACGTTTATTTATTCATTTATTTATATTGAATAAATTTTTATGATCTGTCCAAATCAAATGTGCAAAACTGTTATAATTTGTGCAGCACAGAAACAGGTGGAAATACAAAAATCTTACTGATCTGCTCACTCTGCCTAGTTGGAGCCTATCTATTTTAGTCAGCATGACGTGAAAAAAGAAAAAAATCAGACCGGAGAATAAAAAGTCGGACACAACCGATGTGACTGAGGAATTAATGTTTTTGTTGTTTTCGTGTCTTACAGATCCCCCCACATTATCTGTGAGCTGTGGGGCTGCCTTTCTACACATGAAGATGGGACTAAACTGAACCAAGCTGCAATAATGCATTTACAGTAATTATTGATCAAATCGAGGAATCTTATATTTCAATGTGCTTAATGTCTTTATTGGTTTTTAATTTGCATTGTAATCAAATATTAGAAATATCTTAGAATATATCAGAAATCTATTTTACATTGGATGCATTTATTGTTTCTGTTACCTGGATTACTGGATTTCTGTTACCTATTGTTTCTGTTCAAGTTACATGGATACAGTATAATATTCAAATATCCTACCTGTAAATCAATATAGAAGTAGTCTGTTTAACCTCATAAAAACAGATAGTTTAGGAATTTTATCGGACAGTGTGTTTAATTCAGGAAAAACTTTCTACCAGTTCAGTTTTAAATCATAATCAAGAAACCAACTTTTTCACTTCACTCTTTTTTTCCAAAACTAGTTTTTCCACTAAAAGCAATACAGATTTTTCTTTTGATGGATGTTATTATTAATATTACAGTATGTATTTATTACAGATATATATATATATATATATATATATATATATATATATATATATATATATATATATTTTTTTTTTTTTTTTTGCAAGAGAGATTAGTTGAATTTCCAGTAATCTTTTCTCATTCAGTGTAGTTAGAGATTATCAGGTTACTTATTCAGTGATGCCCAGGGGTTAATAGACATAATTATTTACTTTAAGCTGCACGGTTGATCGCAGGTTTCCATGAAGTGGAAACGTTTGCTGACTGATTTCTGTGCAGCAAACAGGCTCCACCAACCCGTCCCTTAATGTCCCTCCAGTAGAACCCATCAGAACCGAACCTGCTCTCTGTGAGCTGATGTCCAGCAGTCTCTGACGGTCGATCTCCTCCTCGTACTGGATGAAGGTTTTTTCCACCTCTGAGAAAATTTCTTCAGCAGCAGCGGTTAGTCTCTGTCTGATAAACTCTCTCAGAGGCTGAACTGAACACATTGTTGCTGCGGAGACTCACAATGGCTCATCAAACGCCGATAAACACACAGGCTAAGCTCATATAGGAAGTAACTGACACCACCCGGAAGTTCCTGACTCTAGTGGTTAGAAAGTGCTACTGCCACCTGCAGGATAGAAGTGTAACTGAACCTAAAAACCAAGTCCTGGAATACAAACAAACAAAGTACTGACATTTTTTGAAAGGTAGACTGTGTTTTATACTTTTATATAATTTAGCAAATGATCATAATTTATGGTTACATGCATAATTTGGTAAATGTCATCCTATGGCAATATATTAAAATATATTTTCTTTTCTCATATTAAACCACTCCATCCACCTTTTTTTAAATTGCACATTTAGGCACTGACTGCTGAAAATAAACTGTTTATTCAGAACATTAGAAGAAAATTGAAAAGTTAAATTAGAAAATGGATGTGATCTAGGTTCTCAGAGATATAGAAAAGGTTTATTAAAAAATGTTACTTTAAATAAATACCTCCAACCAAATCGACTTATTTGCTGATAAACTGTACTTTTTAACAATTTACTGCACATTTGTCGAAATTTAGCTTTCATGTCTAAAACCTCCTGTTCGGTGCCTTCCTCAGCCTAAAATTGGGCTACTGCATTCAATTTTTGCTACCAGTTTAAAGGGATAGTTCGGTATTTTTGACATGAATCTGTATGGCATCCCCATCACCAGTGTCATGCAATCACACTGACTTACCCCTGGCAGCTTCCTGTGAGCAGAGTTCTCGTCCAGTTTTGGACAAGCCGAAAGTAGTCCGGCAG